TCAAAATAAATATGGATTTTATACTAATCAAAAATTCTAAGACCCATATACTCAGAGATTGTTGGTTTTAAATAACTGAGTATAACTAATAGAACTTTAGTGCAAAATTTGTTTGGTACTTTCGAATAGGACAGCAGTAATTGAAAAAAAAAAATAAAATGGCGGGTTAGAAGTTTTGATAAGTATAGTATGTCAAATTTTGTTATGTATATTATCATGTTAAAGAAGCTTCTGAATGATAGTGCAATGTTTGTATGGAAAGTGAACTACCCTGGAAAGGCCCAACATCTAGGGTGTCTGTTATACGACTTTGTCTTGTGACAGGCGGTAGATGGCTCTTTTTTTATTTCTTTTCTTGCGTAGGATTGAACTCCCCTTTAAAAATCCTGGATGTGCGTATGTAGTCTTTAGGCAGATATTAAGAATACCTATGGTGATATTTCACTCTGGGTAAAAGAAATCGAGAAATGTGTACAAATCAAGACACATCGCATTTCCACGATTCACAAATGGCTTTGTCGTCTTTTTGTTTTTTTGATTTGGAATTTTTGTTGCTTTTCTCATATGACTTTCATCAAAGAAACATTACACTATTTAATTAAATAATTGAATGTAATAACTACATGAATAAGTTGTTATATATTAAGTGAATGAAAAGTATGAGCACGTTTAATATATTAGTTTTTAAAAAACTTTTTTAAAACCATATCCTTCATCTCTAAACATTGTTTGGGTATACTCTCCCGACCTACTGGCTAAACTAACCTGACTCAAAGGGGTTTTAACCCTCAGGAAACAGTTGTTTTTATGCACTCCGGAAAATAGTAACAATCAGCATTGATGTTGAACTTTTCTGGGGGGAAAAAGTCAAGCCTGCCTACCGCCTCAAGTTTTTCATCCCAAGACGACCAGAGAGGACAGAAACTTTTTAAAACAGTCAGTTATTTCATAATCGAGGCGACTCTTTTTCTATTTGGCCAACTAATGGAAACAAATGCAATGTTTACCTCTTATACGATTTTCTTTAAAAAACATGCTATTGAAGTAATTATCTATTTAATCATCATATTATTTAAATGTACATTACATGTATCTATTTTTGTCATTTTATTTGTGTTGAAGAGGACAATCTAAGTTGGAATAACTTGTGTCCATCATGTTTCAATAAAATATGTTTAAATCAAATCATATAAATTAAACTTTGTAAATGTTCCTTGTTTTTTATCAACAGAATAAAATTGTTAGAAAATTTTCGGGTTTTCTAAATTGATATGAAAAAAGTTCTGGGGTTTCTTAATGTACTGTTTAATATTTTCATTTCCATAGTTTTTCTTTGTATTCTTCAGGACAGATGATACAAATAATTTTTTCTTTGGAGGAGACTAAATTTCATCTCACGGGCTTAGAAAAAAGGATAATTCTTTGATTTTTTCTCTCCTTAGTCTTGGAAAATAAAATAGACTTGAAAAATATTAGTTCATACTTCAATAAACTAACACATATGGACAAATCATACTCAGTAAATGTTTACAGATGAAAACACAAATTTCAGAATACCGGTATGTTAGCTTACTGCTAATTAACATGTGATAATAACTTAAAAAGAAATATATAGTTACCAAGCCAGGTTCGTTTTATGAGGAAAAGCAAAACGGTAAAAATCAGCCTATGTGATTGTACTGATTTTTTTTACCATTTTGCTTTTCTTCATAAAATTCACCTAGCTTGGTATATTTTTGTAAAGTTTATATTACACTTTTAGCACTAAGCTAACATATTCTGAAATTTGTTTTCATCTGTAAACCTTTACTGAGCATGATTTATCCATATTTGTTATTTTATTGAAGTTTTAAATAATATTCCAAATCTATTTCATCTTCCAAGGCTAAGAAGAAAAAAAATCAAAGAATTATCCTTTGTTCTAAGCCTGAGAGATCTATGAAATTAAGTCTCTTCCAAAGAAAAAAATGTTTGTATCATCTGTCCTCAAAAGATGGAAGTTTTCGTCCACGCTTTTATACAGTACATTTCATGGCATTCACTTTTTACTTTCTTTAAATGACTAAGAATGTAACTATATATAGTTGTAGTTGAAGAAAAAATGATTTTAAAGAGGAGTAAGAGGGTCCTGCATTGAATCATTTAATATCAATGATGCTTCCGAGCTATCAGTTGTATCAGTGGTCCTGTAAAAAAAAAATAGCTCCTCAAACTGCCTGTTGAATGAAACACAAGAACAACCTGAGCACTATGCCATGTTGTAAATGTATCTATTTTTGAATTTAAAAACCAAATACACTGCATAACAAAAGACAATCAATATTTTTCCCTTCTCGTCATAAATGATTGTTTAAAGTGTAGGCAATTTTTACAAGAGCTTTGATCATGAATTATATTTTAACTTATGTTGCTCGATAGAGTTACCTCAACCATCACTAATATCCATAACGTTAAATGTATAGAAGTTCATTCATCCAAAAAGTCCATTATTTTTATTGTTGTTTTACATTATCGTTCAGATAAATGTTTTCGAGGTGTATTAATGTGTAGAAAACTGCTTTAAAACCACCTAAATTTACATGTATTTGAAAAGTTCGTCAATATACAGTACTATTTTTCAATCCCTGTACTTTCAAAGTCGAGCACACTTTTATCGACTATAAAAACCATGAAAGTGTCCTTAATTACTCATGAGTAGCAAACTTAAAACAAAAAGTGATAACTTTTCAAACCATCCAGTGCTTTTCCCAATCATGACAAGGAGCACACGGCGGGTGTGACCGTCGGCAGGGGATGCTCACTCCTCCATGGCAACTGATCCCAACTCTGATGTCTTGGAGGTCCGTGTTTGCTCTGCTCCTAACTTTTATTGTTTTAATGACCTTACATGTATGTTGAAAACTGTTCGTTATATCTATATGTTTCATTAGGATGGATTATCAAAAAGGTTTTGGTATTATGCTGTAAAATTGATACTTTGTAGAAACTAGCAACTTAACTGTATGGCGTGATGACATCAAATTTTATGTGGTCAGTTTCTCAGAGTTACCGTGCTACAGGATATTCTAAAAGTGGTGTAAATCAGATGTAGATCCTCAAAAACTCTTAAGACTTTTAAAAAGAAGTTTCTAACATCAAAATGTACGACATTTATTCCTCCAAATCAACTGAAATTTATACTTTTTGAAGTTATAGAAAACTGATTTTGAAATAAAAAAAAGGAACTCGGGAATTTTCACAGGTTGATTGATCATCAACAATATTACTTGGCTACAATTACTTTGTGAGTCTACACACAAGTACTCTGAAGTTGATATAAAGAAAATTATATATATACACGTTAAATTTAAACATTTCGAGTTGATTTTAATCATTTTTAACCTTGATTGCCTGTTGTGTTTTGTCAAATAATATTGATATTAATATTGATATTAACTCAAGAAACCAAGAAATATCTCCTTTTAAGGACAGATGAAAGAAACAATTTTTTTCTTTGGAGGAGACTTAATTTTATCTGACAGGCTTAGAACAATGAAAATTCTTTGATTTTCTTCTCCTAAGTTTTGGAAAATAAAATAGACTTGAAAAATATTAGTTCATACTTCAATAAAGTAACACATATGGACAAATCATACTCAGTAAATATTTACAGATGAAAACACAAATTTCAGAATATGTTGGCTTGGCTAGTAAATTCTCACCATCTTTTATCATATAGAGAGAAATTTGAAAGAAATAAAAAAAAATAAAGAATGAATGAATGAATAAATAAAAAATAATGAATATTAAACATAAATCAATAAAATCCCTGAGCTTATACAAAATAAAGCTGGAAAAAACTTGTATTTTGGTCGAGTTAATCTTATCAAAAAAGTACATGAAAACTTTTTGCACATTCGCCTAGGCATTAAAAAATAAAGATATAAGGGAATATAAAATATTTAAATAAAATAAAAAAATGAAGTAAAACGACGATTAATGAAGAGTTTATGAAAATAGCACTCATTCTCTCCAGCAGGTATGACAAATCTAATACAAGCAATCAAAGAATACTGAAAATTGGAAATACAACAGTTTGTCATTATTTCTCAGATATGTTAACCAATATCCCTGAATTGGAATTAAAGGAAAATAAATTTCAAAATACCCCTTAAGCTTAAAAAAGAAATCAAATTCGCTTATAAAGAGCATTTCTATTCCATACTAGAGTGATTTTGTAAAATGTTTGTGTGCGTTATTTTTTCGCTTTTTAAAAAATTCTAATTATTTGGTAAAGAAAATGTATGTCTTTTACGGGCCTAGATTTGTCTTGAAAAATTAAATAGGTATGAGACGTAAACGTCGGATACGAGACGAAATTTCCCAAAACACTCACATTGTACTATATTTCTGATCATGGTCTCTTCAATCCTCAGCAAAAAGAAATTTGTAATTAAAGATCAGAAAAATGCAAGTTGTGTAGGCCGAGCAAGGAAATTACTTTTGATGTATTTAGTATGATAAAAAAAGCATAATTTACCGGTATTTTATTACAAAAATGATACTATTAGATTTTGTACTAAAAGATCTTGGTAATTTGGAACTCCACCTTACTACATGTATAATTTACAATATTAACAAGAATTCAGCAAACAATACGAGTTTTTACATTATGTATTATGTGTCAGACCTGTAAGAAATTGTTTAAGTGTTGTTAAAATCTTGGGTCTTGAAACAATCTTCATTGGTCAAACGCAAGTCTGTTTAATCTATGACTAAAATAATTTCTAAAAGATTCATTATCAATTCATTATCCTATAAGTGGTCACATTCGTGCTTATCAAATCCATTCAAGTTAAAATTACTGAAACACATTAATAATAAAAAGATAAAGGTTGTGAGGTATGTAATTATAACAATCATATGAAAGAACACGTACGGGCCTTTTGAAGCAAACAATACTCACACGCAGCACAAACGCAATTTTAACATTAAACAGCTGATCATAGAAGAAATTTTTATACATATACACGTGCATATAAATATGTACACGTTTATAACCTTTTTTATTATAACATCCATTTCAACATCTACAAATCCCTGGATACAGAGCATCCATCTCGATTATTTGGTGTAACAATCCATTTGTATATATCATTATATATTCTTGTATATTTTGTGGGATTATTTAGTCGCTGACAAATATTGCACATATTACTGCGCCAGTTTTCTATTGGATACTGGGATTCATAATGTTTCTTCCAGTGTAAGAATTCTTCTTGCATATCTTTGTTTTTCTCCACCTCTGTAAGGTATTTTGACAACTGTTGTACAGAGGAAAAGTCTTTTGTGTCTATGTATGATTTTGGCGGACTAAAAATAGAATAATTTGCACTTCCTCTCATGATTGGGATGATATCATGTTGAGTCACGTGATGAAGGCCTTTTTCTGTGATGTAATCACGACACATTGCGTTTTCAAATGACAAATAAAACATATACTTTGTATCAAGAATGTCGAAACATTTACTTTCTTTTAAGCCCCAACATTCTCTGATGGCATCTATTCTTGATTTCGGGCAATTCTGGGCTTTTAAAGAGCCACAGTGACCATATATATCTATTGGCGTGGTTTTCTTCAATAAACTAACGAAGATTTCTCTTCTAGATGAGGTCTTGCAGTGGGATACAAACCAAGCGATGCCACGTTTAGTATTCGAGTCTTTCTTTCTTCCTCTATCGTTATTTCTCTTGACACTATAAGACCCATGAATAAATGGAAGGTCTGCATCCCTTCTGTAGCTTATTGTCCAGTTCACCTTCTGATTATACTTTTTCATACTCCTCTGCGTTACGAATTGGGTACCAATTTCTTTTGTCAAATAATCGGTCGATTCATATTGAGCAAATATCCAAACTTGGTGAGTCTTTTTAACAGGTAATTCACCTCCTCCCAACAAGTCGATCACGAATATCACCGCATCACTGTTATCATAAGCTTTAATATCAGTTGTAATTTGACAGGAGTATGGGCAATTTTCCCAAAGTCCTTCTTTTTTGAACTTGTTCAGTATTTGTATTTCCCAGTGTTTTGGATTGTAAAGAAGCACTGTTTTGATTGGATGAGTGGAATTATTTGCATTTTTTGATACCCTGAGGATGTTTGGAAATTTGTCTTTATTGTTATATATAAAAGAGTACGTCAAGCTAGGATTTTGATAAAAGACAAAAAGTAAAATCACAATAATAATGAATCCTCCGAATAAGCATTGATAAGATTTCAATGAAAATCCTCTGAAGGTTGAATTTTTTCTGAGATTTTTCATCTGAAAAATAAATTATATTTAGTGAATATAATCTAAAATCTGACGATGCTTTGACTTCGTTAAATTTAAGGAAAAAGATGTTGCTAAATTGTATTCAGTTATAATGTAGTTATAATATATTTAATTTGACTTAACGAGCATAAATGGAAACAAACAACTATTTCAATGGAAATCTATTAAATGAAAGTTTATTTTTTGAAGAAACTGAAAGATTTACATGCAAGACTGTGACAAATGGGCATGCTCTGAGCATTGTCATTTGAATATTTGTTTGGACATTTACAGAAATTGAAGCAAGACTGGGGCAAATGGGCAGGCTCTGAACATTTTCACTTGGTTATTTGTTTAGACGTTTACAGCAACAGAAGCAAGACTGGGGCAAATGGGCCTCATCTGGTTACTAACTTTAGAATTTGCATCATTCAAAGCAAGTCTAATAGTATGCATCCCAGTGCATTATCCATGAAACGTATAGAGATAACGAACAGTATTCAAGATCAAAAGTCCATAATATACAATACAAAAATGGTACAGAGCAAACATGGACCTCCAAAACATCAGAGGTGGGATCAGGTGCCATGCAAATATAACCGTCTAAATTCTGATGTATAAGACGGAACTCCAAATATGCAGCTTTAAGGGGGATGTACAAGCCATATTGGATCTAGTCTGGTGTAAAATAAGAAATACCAAGAGTGCGCTTAATACTCTACTAAACTAGCCCAAAGTTACTGAAAGTGCTAATGCACTAATTACCTACTGTTAGAGACCAAAATTAGTTAACAATAAAGTTTATTTTGTTTTAATTAGGAGGAAATTAATCATGTTAGAACTGCGCAGCTACAGCATTTACGAGATAATAAATGCATTGAAAATGGTGATAGTTTGATTCATTGATAATATAGCTACAACCATTTGTTTCGCTTTTTTCTTGTCATTATCCATAATTCTTGAAAATTTGATTTTTCATATGGGTGTCTTCCTGAGGCCATGTGTTTATTTCGTCCGCCATTCCTCTGTCACACAGAGCTCGAATAACATTGATTTTAGAATAAATGAGACCATAATAACATCAAGACAAGAAATTACTCAGTAATAATCATTAGGTTATATTACTTACTACTTTTATTTGTTGCATCGCATAATCTGATTAATGAAAAACGCGATTTTAACTCCACTCCAGCAAATCGGGAAAAACTGTTCTGTTTACAGTTCGAGTTTCCTCGTTAAAATTATTCCACTGAGCACGTGGTTGGCATGTGCATATATCTGCTGTGGATATATCCGATTATTACCATGATTATATTTAATTTTTCATGGAACAAGTCTTGATAATTTGTTGGTGTCTTTAAAACTCAAGAAAAAAAGATAAAAATGTCCTAAACATATGTGTTTACGACGGGTCTTTTTTCTGTGGCGATCGAAGTTATTTTCAAATGGGGCACTGCAAGGGGGATGCTTAGAATTTAATTTGAAAATGTTAAACAATATGCGGTGCATGAAAAACAAATTGTAATGACATGTCTTACATTCTAAAATTGGTACATATGTATATTTTGTTTAGAAGTTAGATAGAAAAAATATGCAGTCATAGGATTTCCTTCAGGCACCTCACATAAATAGCTAGATTGTTTGCAATGACCAACAAATTGTATGGAGTAATGTTTGGACATAATAACGCATCATGTCTCATTATGTTGACAACGTTGTAAGCTCTCGCTCATTGAACATACGAAGCTTGATAAAATATATTGAGTTGTTTCTTTGAAATTTAGAAGCGAGTACAATGTTTGCAAAGAAAGGTCCATTGAATATGCTATGTCTATATCATCGCAAAAAAAATGAGAGCCCCCCCCCCCCCCCGGAAAATCCTATGTTTGTTTTTCAAAATAGTGCAAAAGATTAAAAGATTTTGCATTACTAAGTACGTGATGGAATATGTATTAGCCTTATAAGACCACTTGTTATAAAAATATTTGGTTGCCCTCTCTCCCGATCTACTGCTTGGAAATGGCCCGACTCATTTTTTTTACATCCCATTACACGATATTTTTTTCTTTTTCTTCCGTCAACAATTGTGTTTAAATTTTAAGGAATTTCTTTCTCACCTATAAATACGGACCCAATAATTTTTCCCTGAGTTGGGAGGACCACCAAACGTCATTTTAAAGATCGTATAAAATTTTTAATTATGTTGATTTTTTTTTCTTTACTTTGTAAAATTTTAATTTTGACAATATGGGCAAATAGAATCAGATTGTGACATAACAAACAAGGAGCAAAACTTCAGCATATGCTATTTATAGAACTTGTGTTTGGCTATGTTTCTAATCTGAATTGTGGTTTTGTAGATATAGAGATAGTTCGAACTTTTTGACCACCCCTGGTACTAGTAGGTTTTAAAACAAGGTCATTCATATCGATTATATGTGTTTATTTCTTTGTGTTTCATTGGTGATAATTAAAATTTTGATAGATAATATAAGTTATCTATGGCAAACTTACAAACTCTTAATTTTTAACTTTGATGGTGCTCAGAACAGTGGGACGGACAACTTCGGAATGGACATTTTTCCGAACTTGCGCACCCTTTTCCTTTAAAGCTATCATCTTAGGGTTTTTTTTAAATGGTGGGGTTTTTATAATCAAATTGATTTGTGAAAAAAAAAATTCAACATTTTCTGCTAGTTTTTGAGATATTTGAGTTCAAAAACAAAAATCCCATGGGGAAACATGAACTTAAAAATACCCCACAAAAAACCCCACAAAAACCCCATGGGGTTTATTTTTCACCCCATGGGGTTAAATAACCCATATTATTTTTCGTGGGGTTTTTTAACCCACGTCTCACTAAAAATAAAATGTGGGGTTTATTATCCCATAATTTTTTATGTGGGGTAAAAAAACCCATATTATTTCTCTTAATGCTTGTAATTATCAAGTGAGAATTATAAAATACATATTGTTTGGAGTTGCAACATAAATTAAGTACAATACATGTACATTTTTTATCAACTTTGTAACAATTTAATTAATTAATTTTTTTTTCAAATTCATTGATATACAGTACCTGGCCATAAGTGAGTCATAATTTTATTTTTACACTATATATTTCATTGAAAAACCTGTTTTCATAAAAACTTGTTGTGAAGTCAATTTTAGCTCAATTTTCATGATTTTTTCACTGAAACATGCAGAATTATTCAAATTTTCTTATCTTAAATGATAAACAAAATGATACTTAAACTATTGAGAATAAATCATAAAATATTGTCATGACAAAATTTTCTAACCTCAAATTACTATGATTTCTTAACAAATTGAAGTCTTAAAATTTTTGTTTTGCACTTGACCTGTGATTTCATGGTAATGCATAAAGATAAAACTATTTTGAAATAATGTGAAGAAACTACAACAAATTCTGCATTTTATGGTGTTTTAGACATTAAAAAGAAACAATAAATGACACTGCAAGAATATTTTAGAAAAATGTGTTTCCTAATGAAATATATAGTGAAAAAATAAAATTTTGACTCACTTATGGCCAAGTACTGTACATTTATCACTGCATATGTAAATAAGACATGGCATAAGCATGATAAGAAGGGAATTAAATTATATTTTTTTGACTGACCCGTAAGTGAAAAAGTAAACAAATACGGATTAAAAGTTTGAAAGTTAGTCTAATATTCCAAGCGGGGGAGAGAAATGAATATAAAAAAAGACATTGGAGTGGACCGGCAATTTCATCAGAAAAACAATGTAAAAAAATAACGTGACTTTGTTTACGCTAGCGTAGCTCACAGGTTATTGTTTTCACTATTTTACTGATAAAAGTGCCGACTCCTCAGTCCTGTGACCTGTTATTGAACACTGTTGATCGTGAATCACATAGTAATGATAGTTGTTCTACTTACATGGAGTTTAGTTTGAGCTCTGCTGTCTGTAGCATAATGGACTTGATTCAAACAAAGACAAAAACTTCTCTACTTTTCAAAGAATGTTTTTGAAATTGATTGAAAGAGACCAAATCAATTCATGACTTGTGATACTTTCCTTATTTTGGCACCATTGTCACCCACATCTTTTTCTTTCCCTATGTATAAGTCGTACTCTAAGAAACATATGGGAGACTCTGACAAATAGCGTAAAATTCAAAGACTAAACTGTTATATTTATCCGGAATTTGTTTTTCAGCTACACTGACAAAAGTTAAGTATATTATACTTATAGATGTTTATGCCCACTGGCCCTGATTTGGGAATAAATCGCACTGTCATTTCATTCTAAATAATCTGTAAATGCAGTAGCTTCTCAATCCTAAACCAGAAAAATGCTTTCTTTAAAGTGATTAAAAGAACCAGTTCGTCTTCTTTCATGCAATATAACACTTTTATAGCTTTTTCAAAGGAATTAATAAATTTAAATCATAAAAAAAAAAAGATGAAAGAAGACGAACTGGTAGCGTTATGAAGGTGTTATGGAATAAAAATACCACACAAAGCAAATTTACATGAAATAAAATGAAAGAAAAGACCTATAGCCCTCAAGGTTTCACTGGTCAGCATGATCAAGGACTCTAATAAATTCATTCAATACGCATACAGGTACGGACTGACTATATAAAATCTAATATTTATTTTTGAATATTAATTATGTCTATAAGGCAGCTATAAAGCTCCTCCGTTTTTCAATAATTTATTTAAATTTTTAAAACTTATAGCCTTGAGTAGAAAACAGTCTCTCATTTCCTTAAATGTTTCAAAAATATAATATATAAACAAATACTTTGATAAAGTTAGAATTACTAAATACAAGAAATTTATAATTTATCATTTTAGATTAAGAAAGACCATACTTTTACAAGAAAAATAAAACCATACTTGCCAAATTTCATTGAAATGTGAAAAAGTTATGGCCAGTTAAGAGAACACACCTGTACAATTGACTGAATATGACATGATGATGGATTCTCCCCATGTAAATTTTACAACTTATCA